GAATTACAACCAACTTTTGTTAAAGCTATATAGTAATCTATTAAGACGGATCCTAAATCTCCTAATAAAAAATTATTGAACCAGATTCTTAATTGCCATATTATTACCAAATACACAAATGATAGCATCTGCCACATTCAAGCAGTTGCTTGTGAGCAGCAACCAAGTCTCGCCTGCCATGCACAGACCGAAAGCTATAACAAGTGCAAGAAATTGTGTTCACACAGCTTGGACGTGGATTTTGTCCTTTGCAGTATAATAAAACTAATGAAGAGATTCTGACCAAATTTTGTGGGATGGAATGGGGGTCCAAAGGGAAATTTTTTTATGGCGTTTGTTAAATAAAGTACGAGGATTAGAAAACTTGGCGCTCAGTATTATTTTTTGATCGAATGTATAATTAACAGTTATTAAAACAAACGATCTCCACCCACAAAATTTAGGACTTCCAATCCTCATGTAGCTCCGTCAGCTTCATGAGAGCTGGTGAAGTGCTTGATGCCTCACTTTGGTAGCTTTGTTCAAGCGACCACAGGCTTGCTTTTTTGAGTGAGTTCTACTCAGATTAGGATCTGCAGCCGTAAGGCGGATGGAGCCTGACGGGAAGGCTCGTTAGTACTTAGGCTGAATTCAAGCAGCACAAGCGTTTGCTGATTGCGGAACTGGATAAAGTGCAGCAATAGTCAGTGAGGCGAAAGATTACATATGATTCAGATTCTTATGACGGGGAGCTGTGGCTTTCTAGGGAGTCCTGGAGATACCGATGGTGGAGTGAACCTGAATTCTTTGGATCAGTGCCGCGGATGGATGTACTGGCGAAGACACGCAGGCTTTGGAAACGGACGCGGCAGTGCAGGGCGTGAGTTTGTGAGACCGGAGAAGAACTATTGGGTGTCCGAGAGCGAGAGAGACATAGGTCTTTGTTAACGCTGGTTCTGGGCTTCTTGTGGAAGAGAGAAGAATTTGAGGAGTGAAATCTTGAGATTTCTACGTTGAAGAAGGTTACCCTTCTTGTTTCTCCTCTTGATTGGCTTCGTCTATGAAAGCAGAGCGTTTGCCTGTTGAAGCTGCTTGTGCGCTAAGATCTGGATCCTTAGCTGACCTGATTTGCGGTTGCAGTGATACCTGCTGGGCCTCTCGGAGTTTTGTGGCTACGTCCCCTGGTTTACCCGGACTGTATGTTTCTTGGTTGTTGTTAAGAACTGTTGATTTCATTGTTTTGATAAAACTAGGACCAAGGTGCAGATTTGTGATCCTTCTTCCAGGTTATTGATGGTTGTAGCTGTTCTTGTAGCTATTTGTGTCTCTCCTGTCGCGAGTCCGGCATAAAACTCCAGCGCGCAGAGCTGCTGCCTCAGCCTTTCGGACGCCTCCGACGCATGGACTCGCTCCAGTGGCCGTCACTTGAATCTAATGGTATCATAGATCCAACTTCTTGCAGAGAGAGTGAAGGAGCACTTCCTCTTCTTTAAGTGAGAAAGCGAGGCAGGAGCGAGAGAGGAAGGAAGAGGCGTGGCAGCCAAACGATGGAAATCTTATTCTTCAAACCATGATTTCCTACTAACAATCTATAGCCTTTATATAGGCATAAAAGGAATCAGCAATGCTACATATGACTAGCATACAACCATAAAACTTAGGAGCAAAGATCAACAGGAGTGATTGGATGATGGATGGTCGATATTGATCCCTTTGATCATGGACCATTATTGTCATCATCTTGAATGTTTGATGATATCACGAATTCAGAGATCTTGGTCTATCTTTGGATTTGGTCTTATCGAGCTGCTCGATTGACTAAAAGCAT